TCTTTATTTTTTTATTATTTTTTACATAAATAATCAATATAAACTTTAAGTTAAATGATAATTTTTATAAATAAATAGTTAAAAGTAAGAACAATATAAAAAAATATTTTAAGAATAATTTCTGAATATATTAATATATTAAATTATATTGTGTTTTTTATATTATAAATATATATAAATAATATTTTATATATATTTAAAAAAAAAAGTTTTATATTAATTTAATAATAATTATTTGTTATTAAATTTTTTATTTTTTTTTCAGTTTATGTAAAATATATCTATTAAATATTCTTTTTTATATAAAATAAAAAATATTAATTTAATTATTTGTACTTCGTATAATTTTATTTTTTTTAATATATAATATATTAAAATTATAAATCATACAATTTTTATGATGAAATATAGTAATTAATTAAATTTATTTTAATACATATTATTTATATCTTAATATAAATAATTATATAAATATATATATTATTACGATTTCGAATAATGATAATTAACATAATTCGAAAAAAACTATATTAAAAGTATAAACTATAATTGTTGAATAATAGAAATATATTTTATATAATAAAAAATATTTAAAAATAAATAAATGAATAATGAACTTAACAAATAAATAAACAAAATGCCAATAATTTCTAAATAAATCTTTAAAAAAAAAAAGAAAACAGCTAAATTATAAATTAATAGTTAAACTTTAAATTAAGATTTATAAATATATTAGAATTACTTTTTAATCCCAAATGTAAAAAAAATAAAACAATATTTTTTTATAAAATGTGTATAATACTTATTAAGAAAATAAACTTATTATATCAACTAAATATAGGATTTGGTTATTTTTGATAAACTCTCAGACTATCCATAATAAGAATTAAATTAGGAAAATAACTTAGATAAATTAAGAATCCACTCAATATTGTAAAACTTTAAAATTATAGATAGCATTTCTACTAGCTAAAATAATGTTTCTTTTTATTTAAATAATATATAAAATGATAATAGAATTTTTTGGTAAAAATTATATTTATTATATATATATTTTATATTAGTTTTTATAAAGTAAACAAGGTACCTAACTAATTCAAAACTCAATTAACAGCTTATCAAAATAAGTACAAGAAATAAAAAAAAATATGTCAAATAACACAGGAAAAAAGGTACTAAATAAAAATAAGAATAAATATTTAATTTAAAATGTAAAAATTAAAAATAATAAACATAAAACTCTTAAATTAAAAAAAATAAAATAAGTAACCTGATCATTTCCAAATAAATTAGATATAAACTTAAAACGAAATTGATAATCTTTATAAAACTAGGTTCTAAAATAAGTAAGTAATAACTTATCACTTTTAAAGAAATAAAGATAAAATATAAGCATATTAGTATTAGATAATATCTGTTCATTATAGTAAAGAAATGATTTAATTACTAAATTATAGTATAGACGAGTTTATTTAAGAGAATATATAAAAAAGATTAATAAAGTACATTTTTTATTTAACAAAAATTATATTATTTTTGCTTTTTTTCTTAAAAAAAATAGTATTTATACAAATAAATACTATGTTAATACATTCTTAAAGATATTTGAAAATATAATTTAATTATCGAATAGTAATGGAGAAAATGATATACATTTAAACTTAGACTTAGACTAAGAATATATTGCAAAATATGGAGAAGTAAACAATCATTTTGTTTTAGAAAAAATAATGATTTTTATATTTTAGATTATTAAAAGTAAAATAAATGTAACAAATTGTTTGAAAGATAATAGACTATACTTAAATATGGAAGTAATATAAGTCTTTGATAAAAAACAAAATAATAAAATAATAGATGAAGTTAAGGTAAAATAGTAATAATAAATCTTATAAAGATTTTAATATAATTAAGAGATATTTAAATAATGAAAAATAATAATTAAATATCTATTTTATTAATTTATTTATTAAATAGCAAAATTATTGATTTTATTTAAAAGAATATATATATATATATATATATATATATATAAAAATATATATATATATATATATATATTTATATTTATTTATATTTATTTATATACAATATATATAATTTTAAATATAATATTTTTTAATTTTTCATATATATTTTCATAAAGCCTATTATTTTTAATATTAATGAAGATGATAAAAATCTTATTCTTAAGCTAAATGATAAAGTTTTATTAAATAAATTATTTTAGAGATAAAAAAATTAAATAAAGATTTGTGGATATAAAAAATTAGTAAAATGATAATCATAATTTGAAAATAAAAAAATTATTTAATGTTTCTTTATTTTATTATAAATTAACATTAAACAAAAATTATATAATATACAATTGTTTAATATTATCATTATTTATATATTTTTAATTTCATAAATAAGTTTTTAATATTTTTTTATATATATATAAAGTAAAATTTTATTTTTTAATATTTATTTTAATAAAACTTACTTTTTTATATTATATAAAGAGTTTTTTATATTTTTAATATAAATTAATAAATCAAAATAATTAACAAATATATAGAATATCATTTTAATAAATAATTATCACCGAATAGCTAATTTTTTTATTTTTAATATTTCTATTTATAATTATAGAATTTTATAATATTTTAAAATAAGTATTAATTAATTTTTTTGGATATAATTTCACAAAAGTATTTATTTTTTAAAAATAATAAGAAAATAGTTATACATATGAAAATCATCTTATCTTTAAAATATTAAAAACTTATATCATTATATTAAAAAGTTTATATAATTTCAAATTATTATTATTGCTTTTTATAAAATTAATGAAAAAATATTTTCAATTACAATATTAAAATATATAATTTATATATTAATAAAAAAAATTCTGCCTTTATTATTTTATAATATAAAATTTTATTAATTATTGAATATTCTTTTAATATTAACTCATTTATAGATAAAATATATTTTAAATTAATTATAAATAAAATAAAATAAGAAAAATGAAACATATATTTTTTGTAGTTGTAAAGTAATATATTTAAAAGAATAATTAATAAAAGAAGTTTAATTATTATTATATAAAATACATTAAAATTAGCTGAATATTAATAAATAAAACTATTTTATTCTTATAACTCTAGAAGCGAAATTTTATTTATTAAGATAATTATATTATTATAATATATATTTTTATTTATATATTTAAAATATTTTTAAAATATTAAAAAAGCTATATATTTTATTATATATTATATATTAATTATTATTATAGTAATAAGACATAATTGTCCTGTTTTAAATATTTGTAAATTGTTTTATTGAATAGTCTAAATCAAAATGTTTTTTTAATTATATTTTTTGTAAAATTCATTATTTGAGCTTATATTTGTTATAAATAATATAAAAATAAATTATATTGATTTATTTTATTTTTATTATTAATTAAAAAAATAATAATAATATCTCTTTAGTTTAAAAAAAAAATCTAAAAATAAATAATTTTTTTTTTATATATATAATAATATAATTATTTATATATATAATATTTTTAAAAAATAAAAAATTCTTATTATAAAAAAAAAATTTTTAATAATTTAATTCTATTATATTCACTTTTTTAAATTTTAAACATGACTATTTTTATGTTATTATTTTAATAAATTTAAATAACAAATATGAAAAAATAAATAAAGAATTCATAATATTTAATCATCTATTAATATTTAATTAATAAAAAATATATATATATATATATAGAAAAATATAAAATATATAATATATATATATATATATTTATATATATATAATTAGTTCTATCTAAATATTTAAATTATATTATAATATATTATAACTAGTATATATTATTCATTAAAATATATTTTATCTTAAGACTTATTATATTAAATTCTATATTTATATCAATAAATTAAAAAAACTAAATATTAAAAATAAAAATCATATTTATATTTACTTTATATATTAAAAATATAAAAAATGTAATAAATTTCTTAAAAAATATCAATAAAAGATTACTAACTCCCTGAATAATTATCATCAACTGCACACACTTAAGTATATAAATGTAAAAAAGACGAAAACTACTACGCAATAAAAATAATACTTACTAAAGAGGCAAAAAAGCGTGCCATTAAGGAAATAAATGTCTTAAAAAAATTAAAAGGTAAATTATTTATAATTTAATACATTGAACATTTCGAATATAACGACAATATATGCTTTATAACGGAATATTTTCCTAGTATAACCTTATTATAATACTTGGTAAAATAAAAATAATGCCGCCTATAGTCACAGGAAGCTCTTTTTATATTTAGAAACATTTTAGATGGTTTAAGAACTATTCACACAAACAATTTGATCCACAGAAATATAAAACTAGACAATATACTAATAAACGAAATAGAAAAAATACCCTAAATTTGCGGTTTTGGAATATCTAAAGCCCTAAATATGAATGAATTAACCTGGTCTTTATTCGGATCTTTAAGTTTTACATCTGTAGAGATATTATTTGGTATATAATTATATATAAATATAAAAATTAATATATATATATATATATATATATATATATATATATATACTATATATATATTTATATTTATTTATATAGATACTATATATATATTTATATTTATTTATTTTTAGATACTCCCTATAATTATAAAACAGATATATGGTCTTTAGGTGTGGTTTTATTTGCTCTAACATGCGGATAATTACCTTTTGGATCGGAAATGACTAAACAAAATCAATTAAAGAATTTAAAAAAAGTCTGCACACCCCTTTTTTTATTCAAGAATGTTAAAAATATATGCGAAAACCTCAATATGTTGATTTTGGTGATTAGAATGAATAATGGTAACTACTTTTTTAAAGCTTTTTTGAGTTCGATCCTTCTAAAAGGATCAACTATTCGAGTATTTTGGAAAATAGGATTCTTTATCCGGAATTAGGAGTTGATTTTCCTTAAATATAAAAAGTAGATTTGTAAAGATTAGACAATTTATTAACAAGTATTGTCAAAAAGAATTAAAGAAATAAAAAAAAAGTGGAACTATTAGAAACAATAAAAGAAGAGGAGATAAAAAAGAAGAAAATTAAATTAAAAATGAAGAAAATTCAATATAATATGAATAAAATTCAATTTAAAATGAATAAATATTAATAAATAATAGTATTTTATTTAAATTAGATGAATAAAATGAGCATTTTTAATCTCAATTAGATATTTATTATTTCGAAAACGAGCGAATTCTAGTCTTAATAGATAATTTGGAATATATAAAAGGCTAAAATTGCCTAAAATAGTTATTTTTAGAGGCTTATGGGAAAGAAAAAGGTAATTTTATGCTTGAATTATTAAAATTTTTCTTAGTTTAAAATATATCTTATTTATATTTGTGGTTAGAATTCATTTTAATTAAAAAAAAAAACGTTTTTAATATATAAAATTTCGAAAATTTCGAAAAAATTAAACAATACCAAAATATCTAGCAAAATGTGCAAAAAGGACTCTAAATATATAATAAAGAATACATTGAATTATATTAACATTTAAATGAACAAAAAGAATTTTTGGATAGTTTATAAAAAGAGTTTTTAGTACCTATTTAAGAGTATATTTTTATAGAATTTGGAAATTCTTAATATAATAAATTGCCTGATTTCTTTAAATTACCCTTTAGAGGGGTAATTATGAATGCCTTTAAACTTGTTTATATATAAAGTTTGAAGTTTTTTACTTTTAAAGCGCCATTAGAGTTCAAAAAAGGGACTGATAATAACTATATTGTCGAATAATACCTGAAATAAGGGACTATTAGACTTAGGTTGGCATTAAGATTGTTGATTTGTAGTTTGATTGGAAGGATTTTAGAAAAAAAAGAAGAAATTTAACTAAAATATGTTGAATTTAAAAATAAAAAAGGTAATTTTGATGTTTAAGTATTAGGAAATTCATTAAACTAAATAAACGAGAGATAATGCAGATTTTAAATAGAGGAAATTTTTAAAAATTTCCTTCCAAAATTAAATTTAAAAGATATAGAACAAAATAAATTTTTATGAAAAAAAAAATTATGTTTATTATCACATATATAAATCCCAAATTAAAATATTTCCATCTTTTCCGCCAGAAATAATCTTATATACATATATAAATTAATATATTTGAAATATAATATATAAATATAATAAATATACATATATTAATAAATTATAATATAAAATTTATTTTATTTTAATTTACAATTTAATATAATTATAAATATATTTTAAATATATAATTTTATTGTATTTTTATAACAATTTTGTATTTGATTAAATATAGCTTTAATAAAATAAAACTATTATAAATAAAATTGATAAATATAAATAAAAATATATATATATAAATATATATAAAAATATATATAAAATATATATATATATTTATATTTTTCTATATATATTTCTATCTATATATCTATGTATATATTTTTGTATATATATATATTAAGATTACCTATTTATCATTATCAGATATTTAGACAATATTAATTGTAGATGAATGTCCTCCTTTTCCTTCAAAAAGTAAACTTCCGTTTACTATATTCCATACTTTTACAGATTTTTCAGTGCCTCCTGTAACAAAAAAAGTTCCACTTTTTGATACACATAAAGACATACATTCATCTTAATAACTTTTAAAAGACGATGTGTCAACACTTTTAATTAATTTATTCCCATTTGTAAAATTAATTTTTTTATCTTAACCAACAATTATACAAAAATCATTATTAAGTACATCAAAACTATTTATACCTCCCATTTTTTAAACATAAGCTCCTATTCTTTTTTAATTTTATAAATCCCATTTTAATACTTAATAATTAGAAATAAATAAAAATAAATAAATTTTATATTATACATGATTTATCTTTAGAACTTGTCATTAATATTTCTTCGTTTTTACCTATTAATTTCATTTTAGTTATTTTTTAAGTATGCTCTTTTAAATGTCCTATTGATTTTTTACTTCTCATTTCCCAAATCCTTGCTTCTCCTTCATATCCTCCTGAACATAAAATTTTAAATTACTACTTAAACATATACATTATACTCCCCCTCTATGTGCATTATCTATTTACCATAAAATATTTCCATCTTAGACATTAAAAGCTCTTATTTTTCCATCTTACCATCCCGAAAATAAAATTTCATCATTTAAATTAATACATATTGGATTTCCACCATTATTTACATACAAAAGTCTAATAACTTTATATTAATTGTTTATTTTTTCCCATAATCTAATACTATTATCCTCACTACAACTCGCAAAATTATTTATTTTTCCTTAACTTTAATATTAAATATCCAAAACAGCTCCTGTATGATTTTCCGAAACCAGTATTTTTTACAAATTAGTATTGTTAACCTTATATATAAGTCCTCTATCAGTTGCACAAATAGACTCTAAAGGACCTGATGTAATACTATTGATATTCCCACTCAAATTAATCTAAGAAACCAAATTAATGCCGTTCTAATTGAGCTAATAGTTCCCTAAAAAGCCATTACCGCACCCTACTAGTATTTAACTAGGCGATATTGCTGAAATACTTTAAACTCCAAGGGCTGAGACTGTAATTAATACTAATAGTGATTTTGTTTTTGTTTAAAAACATAAAAAATCACCCGAAGAAGTTCCAGCAAACAACATATCTTCCCTATTTTTCGAAAATTCAACACATTTATATTCCCTAATAACACTTCCTGTATTGATATTTTCTGAAAAAATCTTCCCTTCTTTCCCATCGATTTTCCATAAAGAAACACTTTTCTAAGATGCACACGCGAATTAATATTTTAAGTATCTCTTAATTTTATGTCTTTTTCAAAACCACCCCATTTCATCGCTACAATTTTTTCGTTTTAAATTTGGCAAGAACTTACTATATATCCATTTGAAACGTCCCAAATAAATATCTTTCGGTCTTAATCATTCCCACAAGAAAATAATAAACGATCATCATGTGAAAATTATACTATTTATACCTCATAATCATGTTCACTTAGCCTATATTTTATCCTTTTTTGATCATAATCCCATATTATGACATCAGAATTATCACCTTGTTAACCTGAAGCTATGTATTTGCCATTATTTGATATGGTAACGCAGGTAATTTGGTTATCGTGGCCTTTTAAAAAGTGTTAAGGGGTTGATGTGGGGTTTAAGTTCGTGATTATTAGTTAATTTCCGGATATACAAATATATTCTTTTGAGTTAGGATGAAAATGGACACTACGAGACATTTTACCACTAAAACCAATGGCATAGTGGAGTTAAAGAAGTGATTATTACATTTTTTAATTTTTATAATAAAAAGTTTTTTTTATATATATTTATAACGATATGATTTTTATTTTATTTTTGTTTTTATATTTAATCTATATTTTTTTGTTTAAACTATAATATTTATAAAATTATTTTTTTTATTTTTTTTTGTAAATAATATTAATTTTTAAATAAATTATTTTTGTATATATATAAGAAAAAAAAAAAAATAATAAAGAAAAAATAGTAGTTGTTAAGAAATTAAAAAATAAATAATTATTATAATATTTTATATTTAATTCTAGAGAATAAAATAATGTAAAAATTCAAAATTTATTATTAAATAAAATAAAAAGACATAAAATAAGAAAAAATATATCTTAAAAGTCATATAATTAATAATATATATATATTTTAAATATATATTAATATTATAAATACAATTTTTTTAAGGGTCTTTTAACTTTAAAAAAAAAAAAAAATTAAGAGCAAAAAAAAAATATAAAAAAACCTTTAAATAAATAAATAAAAAAATTAAAATAAAATAATGTCAAATAAACCAAATAAAAAGTTAAGTAATTCAATAAAATCAAGAGGTGAATTATTAGAATATGAAAATGAATATTACGATAATTTAAGCAAAAAGATAATGCGTTCTCGCCGGACTAAAATAATAGCAACAGTGAATTAAAATAACTATAAATCATATGAATAACTCCGAGAAATATACAAAGCCGGATTAAATTCTTTTTTAGTAAACATGGCCTATTGTTCTACAAAATTCGTCTCAAATGTATCCTAATGGCGTCAGAGATTAGAAGATGAATTTAAAACAAAAGTTCCTATAATATGTGTATTAAAAGGTAATTTAATAAGAATAGGATAATTAAAACAGCCAGAAATATATTTAAAATAAGTATTAATAAAAATAAAAAAATTATTTATAAAGAAATATAAAAAATAATAAGGGATAAGAATATAGATTTATAATAAAGAAAAAAATAATAGGTGATAGTAATATATGTACAATAAGTGATTAAAATATAATGAAGAAAATCGGAATAGGTGCTAAAATAATAATAGATTATGGCCAAGTAGCTTTGACAGTATTGAAATAGGAAAAAAGTGACAAAACATTATAAATTTTATAATAAAAATATGGATATGGCGAAGAATTTCCAAAAGAATAATAATCCAAAAATAAATCATAAAATTTAATAGTTTAATAAATGTATTTAAATTCATGTTCTTCTACATCTGAATCTGAAATCTATACATAAAAATAGGTCAATTTATCATAAGAAGATGTCGAAACGGAAAATAAATTTGCAGAAAAATTTAAATAATTAAGAAAAAATTCTAAAGAAAAAACTTATGAGGTTATAGTCTGTTAAGTAGATGGTGATTGTATTATTAAATCTTACAAGCCTATTTTTATCTATAAAAATAGAGATGAAACTGAATAATTATTTTATGAAGAAAAAAGAAAAAGAACATAAAATAATAATAAAATGTTTAAATCAATAGATTATCAAAATTTATAAGTTGATAAATAAAGTGAAGAATATGATGATTTCTTTGAATAAATTATTTAACCAAAAGACATTTATGATATAAACAATGCTCTAAATAACGAACTGGATTGCATATGTGTATCAAATGTGTAAACAGCAGAAGATATAATAAATGTAAAAAACATTATAGGATCTAAATCTATAAAAGTAATTGCAAAAATACAAAACTTAGAAGGTAAAAATAAACAAAAAAATATAAAAAAATAAATATATATATATATATATATATATATATTATATATATTTTATATATATTTATATATATATCTATACTTATATTTATATTTTAATTTATTAGCTATATAAAATTTTGATGAAATAATGCATGTTTGTGATGGAATTCTAATTGCTCGTGGTTATTTAACAATTCATATTCCTGTAGAAAAATTACATTTTATTTAAAAATAAATGATTTAGAAATGTAACTCTAAATTAAAGCCTGTTTTAGTTTCTTGTAATATTCTTGATTCTATGGTTTCTTCATTATTACCTTCTACATGTGAAGTAAGTGAAATTTCTAATTTAGTTTCCGATCATATAGACGGTTTTATTTTGAGTGGCGAAACTAGTTACGGAATGTACCCTATATAGACTATTCAAACACTTTCTAGAACCTGTATGGAAACTGAGGCTAGATAAATTTCAAAAAATAACTTCTAAATGAATAATTTGTTTTCAGGAATTCCGCCTACATTAATTAATTGTATTGTTAAATGTACTTTATAAGCTGCTTATAATATTTAAGCTAGTCTTATTATGGTTTTCACAAGTTCAGGAAGTACTGCTCTTAAAATATCTAAACTTAGGCCTCCTTGCCCAATTATTGCAGTCACTATTAATAATAAAGTTGCTAGATATATTAATTTGGTATCTTCTATTAGAAGCTTTACGTTTAATTCTTTGGAAGGTACCTTAAATCTTATCGATTAAATATTGGATGATTTTAAGGAATAAGAAACTATTAAAATAGGAGATTTTATTATTATTACTTCAGGAGAAGTTGAAAATCTATCGGGAACTACAAATAATTTAAAAATTTTGTAAATTTAATGATTTTTTTTTTTTTTTCATTAATAGGCGTTTTGTTTTATTTATATAAAATATTTAATTTTTTAATATATATATAATTTTTGTTAAAATAAAATTAGATTTTTTATTTTTTTTAATGGATATTTTAAATTTATTATTTTCCATATTTTAATTTGTAGTTGCTATATTACTAATAATATGTATTTTATTATTCAGTTTATATTATTTCTAAAATAATATCCTCTATTTACCTGGTTTTCAAAATTATCCAAATACATCATATATATAAAAAATATACTTTTCAGTAATATAAGGGTTACCAAAATCATAAGACGAAAATCCAGAAGGAAGTAGAAACCCAAAAGATGTGTAAAAAAAATTAATATATAAAATAAATTTATTAATTTTAAATTAAAGTAATATAGATTATGAAGATATAAACATTTAAGCAAGTGATGGAATTAAACTACATGGGTTATCATATTTTATTTTTTTAAAGACTGTTATTTTATTTTTATTATTTTAAATTATATATTCTTAGATGGATTTGTAAAAAATAGAACAGTTTATAACATCCTACAGTTGTATATTTTCATGAAAACGCTGGAAGTAAAATTTGAGAATAAAATAAATATAAAATATATAGATATTGGAACAAGAATATATTATTTGTAAAAGTATTATGAATTGGCTGATATAAATATAATTTTAATAGCATATAGGGGGTATAAATAAAAAATATATAAAAACATAATTAAAATAAATACATAAAAATAAAATAAAGTTATAGTAAAAGTCAAGGAACTCCAAATGAAGAGGGAATAAAAAAGGATTCAAAAGCTATTTTGGAACATGTTTTTAGTAGAAAAGATTTAGATACAAAAAGAATTTTTATTCACGGAAGATCATTAGGAGGAGCTGTTTCTATATATGCGGCATCATAATTAAATTATAATGTAATAACTCTCTTTTTATTTATTATTTAGAAAATAAAAAAAAAAAAAGATAAAAGGTATAATTCTAGAAAATACATTTACTTCTATTGCTGATATGGTAGATTGTATATTTCCTTTCTTAAAATATATAAAATAATTAAAATATCGTTTAATTAAAAATAAATGGGAAAGTATTAAATTGATTGATTAAATAAAAAATCCTATTCTTTTTATTTCTTCTATGAAAGATTAAATTGTTCCTCCTTTCTAAATGTCAATTTTATATGAAAAATGCAAAACCAAAGCAAAATATATTGTAAAACACATAACATTTTTATATTAATTAATTTTTTTATAGTATAAAATTGAAGAAGGAGATCATAATGACAATTGGACAATAGACCCTTATAGTTATTTTTAAGAAATATAATAATTTATGAAAAAATGTAATAATTGAAAAGATATTTGATTAATTTTTATTTTTTGAATAAACATAAATAACTAAAAGTTAATAAAACAAAAAAATAATATATTCTTATTCATTAAATATTTTTATATCCACAAATTTTAATTTTTTTTTAAATATTAGTATTTTTAAAGTTTTTATTTTAGCAAGCAATCTAATCTTCATATTCTTCCATATCTTCAACAATAGGCTAATATTTATATTTTTTTTATTTCTTAAAAATTAAGAAAAAATATTTACATTTACATTAGCATTATTCGTATTTTTAAAGCTCAATTTTTTTTTTTTAAATTATTTTATTTAAAATAGTAAAAAAAATCTATTTTTTTTCAATACTTTTGTACATGTAAGTTTTGCATCAATAAGCTCATTTTTATATATAAAATAACTAAAACAATTTAAAATAATTATACTTCATCTTATCTAGATATATATTATCCGTCATGATATGTAGGATCAACAATAATATAATCCGTATTTTATTGGACTGCTTTTTCAAATATTTATTCTTTATTATTTATTTAATTGGTTTATTAATTATTTTATTTATTTAAATCTTCAATATTTTCTTTATTAGATTATTAATTTATTTATTATTACTGCATTTATTAACCCATCTTTTCAAACATATTTATAGTGTTTTATGCATGATATTTTTAACTATATATTCTTTATATTTTTACATAATTTAATAAATATATGTTTTTTATTACTCTACTAATCCTTTTTTTAAATTTTCTTAAATAAAACTATTAATATTATGACCTAATAACTGTATAATTTCCTCACTATAATGAATTGATGTTAATTAGAAAATATTTGGATTTTATTAATCTATTTCAAATTAATAAGAAAACCAAATACTATCTTTTAGATATTTTTCATATATTTATTCCATGTCTTTTTATACATTTTATTATTCATATTGTAAATTTATAACATATTCCTTTTTTAAAATTAAAAATATATATTTGATTAATTGTAAATTGATTATTTTTTAAAAAATGAAAAATTTAAATATTTAAATTAATGCTTAATAATTTTTTTTTTTTTTAATAATATATTATTTATTTTTTTACATTAAAATAAGTTTAGTAATTTGATAACTATCCTATTATATCTGCTAATTTTTTAAAATATTCATGTCCAAAACTCAAAAATCTAGCTTACACATATTAACTTTAAAATAAATTAAATAATTATATCGTTAAAATATCAAATATTAATTTATATATTAAATTGTGATATTGATAATTATTTTATCGTATTATATTTTTTTATAATTACCATGAAATTCTATGTTCATTTTATAAATTATACAAATAAATAGAAACTATTTTGCTTAATTAGTTATAATAAACACAATTTACTCCTTTAAATAACTTCATAGCTTAATGAAAACTAAATTAATTATAATAAAAATCCTCATCATTTAACTATTGATAAATTTCGCTTCTAACTAAATCTTCAATTATAAGGAAATCCTTTTATTTTGTAAATATAACAAACAAATATTATTAATTTTCCTGTATTTTTATTATAAAAATACATTAAATATTATATAATATTTCCATGGATTAATAATTTTTTAAGGACTTTCGAAGATTAACTATATGCATTACGCATTTTTTTTTTTTAATTGTTTGACTTTTAAAATAGATTTTTATATTTTATTAATTTATAATGAATTATTCATTTTATTTATAAAATAATTATTTTTCTCAATCTTTATATAAAAGAAAATTGTAATAATACTTATAGAATATGTCTATTTTTTTATTATATATATTTTAAAAATTTCTTTCATATATTAAAATTATTATTATTATAAAAATATTTAATTTAATATTTTTGTAATAATATAGATTTAAAAATAAATATTATAAAAATAATGTATAAGTAAAATTAATTATTAATTTTTAAAAAAAATATAAAATTAAAAAATATTTTTTATAATTTTAAATGAAAATATTTTTTCTTATATTAAAAAGATATTTTTACATCTATTTTATTTATAATAAATTATGATTTTATAGAAAAAATAAAATATTTTAAAATAAATTTTTATTTAAAATATTATAATATTTAAATTTTATTAATTTATATTTTTACAATATATATAATTGGATTTTTTATAAAAATATAAATGTTAACGAATGACTATTTTTTTTTAATATAATATATATTAATTGTTTTTAGAATTATTATTTTTTATACATTTTTTTTTAAACAAAAAGTAAAAAAAAAAGTACTTTTCCAATTTTTTTTAATATATTTTTTAGTTAATTAATTGCTTTTTAAAATAAAATTACAGATATAAAAAATATCTTTTTTAAAATAAAATCGATTAAAAAAATAAACAATTTAAATGTGAAATATTTTAATAATATTATAAAAAATAAAATATTTAGATATATAAAAATAAATAATATAATTATTACAAAAATTATATTATTTATAAAACACTCTATATAAAATATTATTTAATATATAACTTATTATTCAACAAATTATATATTCTTCTTATTTAATTAATATTTTTTTTTTTTTTCAAATTTATCCTTCATTTTTTTTTAAATTCTCATATAACTAAACAAACATTTTTTTTATTGAATAAATATTAACTTCATCTTTTTTTTATTTTATGAAAATTTATACACAGCACATATCAATAATATCATAAATAGTTTAAAATTTTCCTTCTATATAATTCATACAATTAGGGTAATACTCTCTATGATAAGTTAATGGGTTAGTTTTTTCCGGATCTTATAGGATTTGTATATAAATATTTTTAAGTTCATCTTTTTTTACAAAACCCCAAGGTTATTACCCAGTAAAGAGTTCCAAAAGGATACACCCAAAACTATAAATATCAAACCTAGGTGATAATTCATGATTAATAATAGCCGCAGGATGTGCATACTTAACTGTAGTCCCCAACATATTGAAAGCCTCCGTTTATTTTTCTTCAAAAACTTTTGACATAGAAAGATCAGAAACAATAATATCATCATTCTAATCAAGCAAAATATTTTAAGGCTTAAGATCCATATGCTATATTTTTTATTCATAAAATAATTCCAAACATTCTACTAACTGTAAAGACCAAACAATTTTTTGATAATAAGTTATATCCAAGAAGTTATTTTTAATAAGCTATTTTAAATTAAATTTACATAAAGGCATCCAATAGCCAATTAAAACATTCTATCTTTGCATATCTACTTAAAAGGATATTCCTTTCAAAGGCATGATTCTCATGTTTTTAAAAAGCATAAATTTTTGCATATTCTCAGCTTCTGAGAAAATTATCTAAAACCTATTTAATGCTGAATCATCATTCATTTAAATTTTGCAAATTTTCAAAGCACATAGTTCGTTTTCTAATTAAATTTTATATACAATTCCGAAATTTCCTTTATCCAATTATACACGTTATTTCGTTTACATTTTCTCATGTGGAATAATTCTTATATATTTTTAAGATTGTTCTTATAATAATTAAGGCTTTTTTATTAATCTAGTATTTATTTTACATTCTTCTTATTCAGTATTATTATCTTGTATTATTGAACTTTCTTTAAAATTTTTTTTTTATTCACTACTTTTTAAAAGACTTTCTTGTAATTTTTTAAGTATTTGGAGTTATTCATCAACTGAATTTTTATTTACGTTTATTTTTTTATTTAATATTAAGTTCATTAAGTCCGGTATTCTTTTTTTTTATTTAGAAGATACTTATGTATAGTTAATTTGTAATTGTTAACATTATTATTGTAAAAAATTTAGTTCTAATTGATTTTATTCTATATCAGATTTACAACTTACTATAATACACTATATTTATTTCAAAGGATTAGCTTTTACATAAGAAAATATTATTTCTAAAAAAGAATCTTGTTAATTTTTTAATTATGATTTCATTGATATATCTACACATAAAAGAATTGTCTCGAATTCATTTATCTATGATTTGTTTAAACGGAAATATTCAGGATCACTCTTTGTTAATCTTTAAAAATTCACTACCTTGTTTTAATATTTTACCTTAGCTTAGTTTATTCCAAAAACTTAGCCTACGGATAATAAAGCTTCTATTAAATAGGCTTTTCCTACTTTACTTTCTCCTATTAATAAGACGTTTTGTTCGTTTTATGCTTTACGATCGTTTTGATTTTCCTAGATTTCTTGAGTATAGCAAAATAAAAAAAATTTAAAACGAGATTTTTATGGATTTTCAATCATATTTTTAAATAAAATTGATTTTTTTATAAGTAATTTGTTTTATTAATAAAGTAAATAATATTTTTTAATTTCTTTTATTATTTATAAATTAAATTTTTTCATATAAAAACTTTTTAGATAATAAATTTGTGAAATTGATATTTTTTTTAAAAAAATTGGTTATTATATATTTTATTTATTTATGATAATTTTTATATATTCATTAATTATATATTTTTATTATTTTAATATGATTATATTCTAATTTTTTATTAATTGAATTAATTTAAAAAATACTTAATACAAAATAAAAATAATTTTTTTAAAATACATTTGATGATTTTTCCAATTATTTTATTTAAAAATAATCATAATATTAAAATTTAGAAAAATATAAATAATTAAATAAATATGTCAGAGAAATGAATATTAACAAGAATTTTTATATATATAAATAATAAATATTTAAAAAATTATTTTTATATATTAAAATATATATAAATACACCTATTTGTAATTTATTATTACAAAAATATATTTTTAAATTAAAATAATTTTAATATTATTTCTAAAATATTAAATAAATAAATGCAAATAAAAAAAATAAAAAACAAATCAATTTTTTTTTTATAAAATAAAAAAAGGATTTACAAAAAGAAAAACAAATAATAAATAAGGAAAAAAAAAAAAAACAAAAACAAAAACAAAACAAAAATACAAAAGGAAAAAATAAAATAAAAATATATATATTAAATAAATTAAAAATAAAAAAATGTCATTAGAAAAATAACCTTAATAAACATTTGCATATGATGTTCTTGGTAAAATAAAAAAACCATTAAAAAATGTCCTAAAAAAAAAAAAGGAACTAATTATCCATACATTAATGTAAAGTAAGATAGTTAAAGTTAATTATTGGCCGACTTCCGTAGATCAATATCTTCCATAAATCCATTTGCATTGAGATAAGTACCTTCTGAGGACAGACATGCTTTCGGATATAGATGGGGTAACTAATTTTTCACACCAAATCCATATCCAAATAACATACATTTTGACAGATTATTCCCCACTCGTAAAAAAATCAAAAAAAAAAAAATCTAAAAAAACAAAATAAAAAATAAAAAAGATTATGATCCTTTATCAGAATCAGCAAAATCAAACGACTCTTTATAACTAATGAAATCTGCCCCAAATACTTATTCTAAATTAGTATTTTCATCCGATAAATTCCCCAGACCATGCATTAGAACAATTTAATATTATCAAAGATGTAAAATGGTAAATGATAAAACTAAATGTGAATAAGAAAAAAATGATATTTTGAGTATTTGCCCTAATTGGGCACTTGATTCTATGAAAGAAAAAAAAAGATAATAATTAAAAAAACATGCTATTGATAGATAAGTCTATGAAAATGCGATGAAAGTAGAAGATTATAATTAAGGAAAATCTGTTTCTTAGATTTCTAATAAAACATGGGTATAAAAATTTATTTATTCTTTTTATATAATTTATTTTTTAAAGAAAAATGGTACTAGACATTATTTAAGACCTGATACTATGTGGCCCGATGATAGATATTCTGAAATCACTCAATAAGAGGTTAATGAAGCTAAACAAAGAATGGCTGAAAGAACAAGAAGATAAGAAGGTAAAGCTGAAAAAAAATAAGCTTCAGCAGGACCTTAACCCAATAACGACAATATTGGAGAATAACCTGTTAAATTGCCTAAATCTTTATATCCTTGAGAAGAGGCTTTTTTATTTATTTGTTTTTTTTTTTTTTTGCATTATTTTTTTTTTAAAAAAAAGTTATTATTAATAGGTTTTTTTTTTATTATTTAACATTTTTTTTTTTGTAAAAAAAAAAAAAAAAAATTAATTAAAAAAAAACAATATAGAAAAATAAATTTATTGAGCTTTTTTTTTTTATATAATATAAAAAAATAATAAATAATTATTTTTTTAAAAAATAAATACATTTAAATATTAAATTAATAAAATAAAAAAATAACTTTTTTTAATTTTATTAATAAAAAAAAATAATTTCCAATAAAAATGTCACTTTACGGAGTTGGATTAAATACTAATTTACAAAGAATAAATATAGAATTCCGTTTATATTTATCAAAATACAATGGAAAATTAAACATAAGAAATTTAATAAGATTATTTTAATAATTAGATGTTCATAATGTTCATAGACTTAACTTAGAATTAATCCAAAAAGGCTTAAATTAATTCGGATTTTTCCTTCCAAAGGTGGATTATTAATGCTTACTAAAATATTATGATAGAAATAATGAGGGATTAATAAATTATTATGAATTAGTAGATGGAATAAGGTAAATAAACAAATTATTCTAAAAATAAAATAAAATAAAATAATAGAGAAAGAATAAATGAAAGAAGATTAAGTTTAATCGAACAATTATTTGATTATGTAGATTCAGAAAAATCAGGAGCGATATGTCCTAAAAAATTAGGTAAAAAGAATTCGATTTATAATTCATTATTTTTAAATAAAAAAAGGTGAAAAATTAGATGTTTCAAAAAACAAAGATTTTTAATTGGAAAAAAAAACTAGGGATTAAATTGTTTATGAATTTTTAAGTTGTTTTAATTTAAATGAAAACGGATTAATAACAAAATAAGAATTCATCTCCTTTTATGAAGATTTAAGTCAAGGAATTACTTCTGATTAATACTTTTTGACACTTCTAGAATAAAACTGGGGGCTTTTTGAAAAAGATGAATAAGAAATTTCAAAAGAAGAAGTCAAAAGTCTTGTTAAAGCTTTAAGATTTAAACTTATTTAAATGACTTAAGGTACTAACGACGAATTCTTATTAAGAAAACTATTTAAGGAATTCGACAATAATAAAAGTGGTTATCTAACATTAGAAGATCTTCAAGCTATGCTCATTAAATTGGAAATTCCAATCTAAAAAAGATACTTATAAGCTTTGCTTTAGAAGTTTGATGTAAATAAATCTGGATTTATTGAATTCGAAGAATTTGTAGTTTACTTAGTTAATGATCCTTATCCATGATTTTTATTTTTTTAATAAAATAAAAAAAAAAAACATAAAAGTTATATTTTCTTTATTTTAAATTTTTTTTTATTATTATTATTAAAAATATTTTTTTTAATATTTAATATATATACTGATATAAAAAATATATTTATAATTAAAGAATTTTACGTGTTAATTTGATAATATTATTTTAAATTTAATTTTTAAGAATACTATATAATAATATCATTGTTTATTTTTAAAAAATGTAATTTTAATATATAAGATTACATAATGAATATAATATAAAAAATAAATATTTAAAAATATATATATTTTATTTTAAATTATAATTTATTAAACTACATATTTCTATTTTTTTTATTATTCGCAATTTTTTTTAAATAAATTAATCATAAAATATAATATTTAACTCTGTTATTTTACGAAAATAAATAAAAAAATAAAATATAATTTAAATGTCAATAGTTGAATTAATAAAAGAAGTTACTAAAAAGTAAATATATTAATTAAAAAAATTATATTAAACTTAAAATAAATCAACATAATTGAATACAATATTTGTAGTAGCGAACTCAGTGGTCGGTTAGTGTATACTTAGTTATTCATTTAGCAAAATTGAAAATTAAAAAAATAATATAATTTATAATTTTTAATAAAGTCAAAGACTAGTAATAATTTGATTATAATTTCATTTAAAACATGTTCTTTAAACATAAAACATAAAAGGGAAAATTTATATATCAGATGTATAATTGAAAAGAAAAATTAGAAAATAAATAAAATAGATAATAAAACGAATTTTTGAAAATAATTTGTCTGTTGTCATTATTTTGTGCATGTAGTATTGTTTTATGTTATTTCTAATTGTAATAGGGTTACTATTCTCCATTTCTATTTAAAAAATAATAGCAAAATTAGCCCATAATGTTTTTTTTATTTCGCTGTATTATTTTATGTGTTGCATTTATTAATAATATATATATGAATCCAAAGTTTATACATGTAATCTCCATAAAAAAATTAATAAAGTAAATTATTTATCGATTTATTATGCTGTAATATCAGGAACTTTCGCCATATCATTTATAAAGATATTTATTTATTGAATTGAATGATTTTTTTAATTTATATTTCTTGTTTTCAATTTTATTTGCTTTGTATTTTTTTATTTTTAAATTCTTATTTATTATCAATATATAAAAGAAAGCATTTTACATTTTTTTTTTTTTTTTAAATTAATTTTTTTTTAAAAAAAGGTTAAAAAATAAAGTTATTTTTTTTTTTAATGAATTAATTTTATCCAATAGATAAAATAATAAATGAAATTAAAATAGTGGAAAATATGTTTAATAAATAATTGATTATTATTATTATTATTTTAATAAAATAAGAATATTTAAAAAAAAAAAATTAAATAGAAAAAATTCCCATTTTATTATCGAAAAAATAAAAATATTTTAACAACCCTAAAATAAATAAATGTTTAAAGAATTCACAAATTTAATAAAATCATAATCAGATCATCGTGAATATAAATTAATAAAGTTAAAAGAAAACGAAATAGAGATATTATTAATATCAGACCCCAAAACAGACACAAGTTCAGCTGCTGTAAATGTAAATGTGGGTTAATTAAATGATCCTCCAGACCGTTAAGGTAATATATTCCCCCCCCCCAAAAAAATAAAAAACCGAAAAAAAATAAAAAAAATAGGATTAGCTCATTTTCTTGAACATATGTTATTTTTAGGAACTTCAAAATATCCCTTAGCAAGTGAATTCGACCAATATTTAAGTTAAAATTCTGGATATTCGAATGCCTATACATCATTAGAAGAAACAAATTATTATTTTAACTGCCTAAATGAGGCATTTGAAGAAGGATTGGATCGTTTTGTTTAGTTTTTTATAGACCCATTATTTAATGAAGAATACGTGGAAAAAGAACTAAAAGCAGTGCATTCTGAACATATAAAAAACATTTAATAAGATTCTTGGAGAGAAGATTATTTTTTAAGGTATACTAGTATTTAAGGGTCTTTTTTTAATAAATTTGGTTCAGGAAATATGAATAGTTTAAATTTTCCTTCTATTAGGGATGATCTTATTTCCTTTTATAATTAATTTTATTCCTCAAATCTTATGAAAGCTGTAATTTTATCAAATAAAACAATACAATAATTATAAAATACAGCTTGTTTTTTATTCTCTTAAATACCCAATAAGTCTTAAAATCCTCCTTAATTTACTTAGTAACCATTTGATGATACTAATCTTAGTAAAATTTATAAAATAGTGCCTTGTAAACAGGAAAATAGGGTAAAATTTGTCTGGGTTTTGAAGGAGAATTACGAGAAAAAATACAAGAAAAACCCTTTATGCTATTTAAGTTATTTGATAGGACATGAGGGAAAAAATTCACTTTTAAGTGGATTAATAGAGGAGGGATTAGCCGAATCTTTATATTGTGGCTTTAAACATATTTCTATATTTTCAACTTTTTATATAGATATTGTTTTAAGCGAATAAGGTTTTCTTGATATAAATAAAGTTTTTACTCTTGTTTTTGCATACATTGCCATGCTTAAAAATAAAGGACCTTAATAATGGGTCTATGAGGAAAATCAGCTTATAAAGATTATTAAATTTCAATATAAAGAAATAGAAGAGCCTATAGATTATACATATATTTTAGCTTCTAAAATGTAAACTTGCGACCTCTAAGATATTTTGAGATATGATGCTCTGCTAGAGAGTTTCCATAAAGAAGATATGGAAGCTACTTTGAATGATTTTTAATTAAAAAACCTTAGAATTAATATAACTTCGCCACTTTTAGTTAATTAATGTGAACTTTTGGAACCTATTTATTAAATAAAATATAAAGTAGAAGATATAGAAGATGAGTTAATAAAAATATATTAAAATCCTTAAGAAAAATACATTAAAAAATTTGATTTACCGCCCTAAAATACTTTTATTCCTAAAGTTTTCCATCTATTAAATTTAGAAGTAGAAAATCCCGAAAAAAGCGACATAAAATATATTGCAAAAGGTACAAATTACGAATTTTGGTACAAAAAAGATAATTATTTTAAAATTCCGAAAATTTCTTTACTTATAAAATTTTTTCATGAATCTTTTTTTACTTTAAAAAATTAAATATTATGTGAAGTTTATATATCCATAATACTTGAAAAAAATAGAGAATTAATTTATTAAGGCGAAATGGCTTGTATTGAGACTATTTTAGAGTTCAAAAATGAAATTAATTTCATTTTTGAAAGTTTTTCCGATAATTTTTATATATTTTTGGAATAGTTTTTGACTTAAATTGTCAATTTTGACGTACTTAAAGATATATAAAAAAGCATTTTTAATATTCAAGTTAATAAAATTTAAAAAAAATACAAAAATTTCTTTTTTAAAAGTCCTTATGAATAAGGTAGAAATTACTCAGAATATATTATGAATAGATTTTCCTTTTCTCCTGAAGATCTTTTAGAGTAAAGTATGAAAGTTAGTTTAGAAGATGTAGCCTTTTTCGGAAATTTAATAAAGGAAAATTTATAAATATAATGTTTTTTAGGAGGAAATTTAAATAGGGAAATTAGCTTACAAATAAGTGAAATGATAAAAGATAAATTTTTTTCAAAAAAATAAATAAATGAAAACTAAGAAAATGTAATTATTTAAAAAAAAAAAATTAATTTAATTTTTTTTTTTTAGATAAATATGAAAAATTGCATTTTAAGTTTTCCTTCTAAAAAAAGAGTAATATTATAAAAAAAGCTCTAAAAAAATGAAGAAAATAGTTATATATGTTCTATCTATTAAATAGAAGGCAAAAATACAATTAAATAAAAAGTTTTATTCGAATTATTAGCAAAATTTTTAGATGAGCCTTTTTATAAACACTTAAGGACTTAAGAATAATTAGGATATATAGTTTGGTGTAGCAATTATGAAATAAAAAATTAATAATATTTTAAATTCGTTATTTAATCGAATGTTGAATGTCCGGAATATTTATCTTCAAGAATTTAAAATTTTATCAATTAATAAAGACAAAAAATCAAGGATATTTCATAAAACGAATTTTTAGTTCTTAAAAAGTCAGTTGAATGTATGCTAAAATAAAAAGAATTTAGTATTTATTAAGAATCTAAAAAATACTTTTATGAAATTAATAACAATACATATCTTTTTGATTTAAGTAAATATATGTTATAATTATAATTATATTTTGTTTTTTTCTAATTTTTTTATTTATAAGATTAATAAATGATTGCGTTTTTATAAAATATTTAAATCTATGAACTTATTGAATTTTTCGAATGTATTTTTTATGATAACCCTAAAAATGCTTAAATTTAATTAATTTCTTAAAATTAATTATGTAATAATCAACATTTATTGAAATTTACTTCTACTTTTATAAAAACTGAATGCTTTGATAATGCTGAAGAGTTCAAAAAATAATGTAAGAATCTTAAAAATTTTTCGGTAGATAATTGAATAAATTTAATTCATTATTTAATAAATTGAAAAAAAAATAAAAATACAATAAAATAAAATAAAGTAAAAAATTAAAATAATTTTATTTTATTTAAACAAAAAAATAGATAAAATCAATCTGTCAAATTAATAATAATAATAAAAAAAAAACAGGAAAATAAAATTTATATCATTTTTTTTGAAGAAGAAGAAGAAGAAAAAGAAGAAAATAAAAAAAAATGTCTTTAGTTCTAAAATTTTAATAAATCTAATATAATAATAACAGAAACAATAATAAAAAAAAATACATTAAATATTTTATATTCGCTTTTTTTATTTTATTTTTAAAATATAAAAAAAACTTAACTTATATTATATTATATTATAAAAAAAAAAAAATTACATATTCAACCATAAATAATATTATAACAAAAATTTCATTTTTAATTTTTCTAAACACTTTCATCTTTGAAAATATTTTACAAATCCTGCAGTCTATAAAAACTGGCATTTTAAGATTTTTCAAATAATTTAAGAAGTAAAAAATAAAATTATTCATTATTTAAATTAATATCTAAATATTAAATTGCTTAAAATAATTAATCTTTATTAAAAACTTATAATTTTTTAGTTTCTGGATTTAAATTTAATTAAGAGTTAATAACATCAAAATTTTTATTAAAAATCTTAAAAAAAATTAAAAAATTAAAAAAATTTAAATATATTATACATCTTTCAAATATTAATAATTTTATTCTTCTTATTAATTAGAAAATATATAAAGTTTTCCTATAACATACTTAAGTCTGCTTTTAATTAAAATATTATCAGCCTCTAAATTATCGTTTATTTATATTCTATTTTAATTATTGTCTTCAACTAAATATCTTGATAATTAAAAAGCTTTTTCTTTATTTAAATTAAAAGGTTCTTTTTACAAAATTTCATTTATTTCTCTAATCGTCATTTTCCCTTTTTCTTCTACTTTTTAGTTGAAAAAAACCTAATTTTTATGCTATAAAACACTATTTTTTTTTTTTTTTACTTCATTTAAAACATATTCTAATGAATTTTTTTTTAAACTTAATTAATAATTAATATATTATTATATTTATTATATTTGAATTGTTGTTATAGGATCTAAATATTTAAAATTACTCTATCTTTTTCTTTGTTCTTCTTATTATTATAATTCTTTTTCTCTAATTTTCTCTTATAATGTTTTTTAATAAGCAATTGATGCTTGCTCTTATTCTTGTTATACTTATTCATTTCTATCAAAAATTTCTTAAAAATAGTTATTACTTTTATTTGTTTATTCATTTTAATTAGAAGATATTAATTTATCTATTTCTATCTAAATAAATTCATTACTTTAAGGTATTTTTTTATTTTATAATTAACTTTTAAGCATTTATATTTATTTTTAGTGAAATTGCATATCATTCTATTTTAAATTTATATTTAATTTTTTTAAATAGTATTTACTTTATATTTTATTTCTATATCATTATAACTTTACTATAATTTATTTATTTCATTTTATAATTAAATTATTTTTATTTATGTATTATCATCTTAAAATTAATTTTATTATTTCATATAAGTATTTATTTATTATTTATTTTCTTCTTATAATTAATAAATTTTTTCTTGTTAATGACTTATAATGCCTTTTTGTCTTTCCATTTAAGTCTAATAATTTTTAATCTGATTCTTTAAAACTAAAATTTGTCCTTATTTTGCATTAAAGTTTGTTTCTATTTCTAGTCTAGTCTTTGAATATAAAATATATAAATATATATTAATTGTTCTGATATTTATTTTTGTTACTGTTATTTTATTTTAAAAACTTAATCAAATAAAAAAAAATGGATAAAATCTTTTTTATAAATATCGAGTTTTTAAAAAAAAATTACAGGAAAAAAAATAAAAATAATTAAAAAATTAAAAAAAAAAAACAAATATTGTACTTATAATTAAGTAATTTTATCTTCTAAAATTTTAATAATAGATTTTAACTAAACCTATTCTTATTTTAATTCTTTAATCATACAATCTGATAAAAAAGATTTGTTTTCCCCTATATTTTTATTACTATTTCTATTATATTTAAATACATAAAAAAACAAACAAATAAATTTAAATATATATATTAATATATTTTAATATTTTTTAACTTTTAACTTTTATTATTATGATATCCTTATAAATCAAGCTTTGATTTCATTTTTAACATTTCTTAAATACAAACTTTTAATTCTGTTTCAAGTTCTTCAATTCGTGTTTTCAAAACACTTTTTTTTAAATTATCAATTTCATTATTTTTTTCTTAAATTTCATTTTTCAAGTATTTATTATCTTTCTTTAATTTAAAAACTAAAATTGACTATTATTTTATCTTTAAAATATATAATAAATATTTTTTTTAATACTTCAACAGTATTTTGATTTAAATTATTTAAAAAATAATCTTATTTTTAAATATTGGCTATTACTTATTATAATTTATCATTTTCTTTGTTTATATGACTAATTTTTGTTTTCAATTTAACATTTTCTCTCAACAAAAGATTGCATTTATCTTAAACTTAAAGTTAATTTTCATATAAAATTTCCTTTTTTTTAAAAAAAAAATAAATATCAATATAAGAGAATAAATATAAAATAAAAACTTTAGATTTTTTTATATTTTTGGGAAGCAATTTTTTAATGTTTTAATTAATAAATTTATTGTCAATTTCCGAAAAAAACAAATTATTATTGCTTTAAAATATCTTATTAGCAGTTCTTTTATTTTTAATAGATTTACCACTCAAATATTATTAATTTAAACTATCATAATTAATAAATTTTTAACTTTGAACTGTATTCAAAATTTAGTTCATATTTTAATTTGGTTATAAAGTATTTTGTTATATCTAAAAATATTCACTTAAATCTATACTTTTTCCTTTGTTTTCAGTAATTACTTATAACCTTTTTTTATCAAATATAATTTATACATATTTTTATGAATAAAAATATTATTTTAAACTCATTTGCATTGCTTTATTATCGAAATTTGTCAGCAAACGAATAATTAGGATTCGATAATTAATTTGCTTACTATGTGTTTTAAACTTTGGCACTAAAAGGTCTTGTATTAATTCTTTATTTCTTATTTTTATTGTTTTTGATTTATTTTGATTTTATATATATATATTACTGTATCTTAATATTTATTAAAATAATCTATTTATTAGTTTTTTTGGGTGTTTCTATTTTCATATTATGTTATGTCCCTATTCAATTTTTTTTTTATAAATGTTTAATTTTATATTTATTTAAATTATTAATTTCAACATGATCAGAAAATTAGTCTTTTATTTTTAAAATTAAATGATTTTCGAATAAATATTTATTAAAATAAAATGTATATATTTTAAAAAATAAAAAATATAATTGTGTTATTAAAAAATAATATTTTATTTTTTCTTTATATACAAAATATTATGAAAAATATAAAAAATTATAAAATTTAATAAAACGATATATAAATATTAAATAATAATCTTAAATTAAAGGTGTATATATATCATTGATTAGATTTAAAATAATAAAAAAATATTTAATTTTTAATTAAATATTTTATTATATTACCTTAAAATAAAAATTACTTTCAAAAAAAAAAATAAAACATTTTTTAAAAAATAAAACTAAACATAAAATAAAATATTATTAAAAAAAAAAAAAATAGTCAGCATATAACGTAAAAAGAAAAATATATATATATATATATAAAAGTAAAAAATAATTTAACAAAAAAGAACTATTCACCGATATCAGTAAAGCATGATGGATACGAAAAAGATATTTTAATATCGCAATTAAAATCAGAAATTTTTGAAAGAAAATAAAATGAAAGATAATTTTAAGAAATAATTTAATTAAATAAAAACTTAGAATCTCAATATTAAAACTTAAAAGAGGAAAGGTTTAGAATGGAAAATGAACTAAAATAAAAAAATCTTGAACAATTAAAATAAATATCTTAGCTAAAAACAAAAAATGATAACTTAGAAACCTAACTTACAGAAAAAAAGATAGAAATCTAAGAATTAAGAGCTGAAAATATCGCTTAAAAGGAAATATGTGATCATAGATATATGGAAAATTAAAGACTAAAGCAAGAAAAGATGCATTTGGAAGAAATAATAAATAGATTATAAAATGAATAGAACAATTAAAAGTCAGAAATTGAATTTGCTAAAGAAAAATAGCGAAAAATGCTAAATGATATTGAATATGTTACAAACAATAACGAAAGTTTAATACAGAAAAACCAAGAATAAGAAAAATATATAAGATAAATAGAATATGAGAAGAATTAACAAGAAAAAAATGCGAACTAATAAAATAATAAAGTATAAATTTTGGAAATGGAAATATTAAATAAAAATGAAAGTTTAAAAAATTAATAAAACCAGATTTTAGAAATAAAATAAATCAATATTAATTTATAATAAGAATGTCAAGATTTAGAAAAATAAAGAGATAAATATAAATAAGAAACTATAAATAATAATAATTAATTAAGAGAAGAAATTAGTAAAAATTTTAACTTAAATAATTAACTTATGGCTTTAGACTAATAATTTAGGTATTTTTAGTTAAAATATACTTTTCTTTAAAAATTATATTTTTATATAAAGAAATAAAAGTCTTTTTGTAGAAGATCTTAAAAATAAAATGGATGAACTTAAAAAGGATGTATAAGAAACTTTCGAATAAAACGATTATTTAGCAAATGAAGTTGAAATTCTTAAAAGAAATAATGATTAATTAAAGTTTTAGAATGAAGAAGTTTTATTTTATTTTTAATTTTAAATTTATATTTTTTTAGTTAGTTAGATAATTAGTACTCTTTAATGAATAAGATGAAGAAATAGTAAAAATGCTTGATAGAAAATAATAAGTAAAAGAACTAAAAAATAAAGTCGAAAACTTTATTTTATAAACTTAAGGAGATATTACTAAATAATAATAATAATATAGTTATATTTAAACTAATATTAAATAGAAAAACTTATAAGATCTATGATTTTATTTAAGTGTTTGATAAAAAATAAAATATTATTTATTAATCTATAAATTTATATCAAAATACGTATATATGTTTATTAAATATAAGGATATATTAATTAATATATGTTTTTTAATTTAGCAAGTATATAACCATGTAATACTTAAATAATAATAATAAAAAAATATCTATATAAAGTAATTATTAATTAAAAAAAAAAATATAAAATAAGTGAATACAAATATAAAATTTATATAAAAAAATGAAATAATTATTTTCAGGGGTATTTTTTATAGGGTCATCAACCTATTTTTATTCACAAAAAAAGCATTATATGCCGTCTTTTAGTACTCGATCATTGAATTATATTGATATTCGCGAAGAAATCCGTTAAAATATCCGAAATCCACCAAAAATAAATCTGACAAAAGACGAAATAGTATCTTTATTGATTCGTTTAGGGTATAATACATCAAGCACATATTCAAAAGAAGATCGAACTGGAGGATCAAATGGTTCAACAATGCGTTTTGAGAAAGAAAATAAAGATCCATAAAACTAAGGTTTAGAATATGCAAGAAATTTCCTTGAGACAATAAAAAATAGATATCCAGGCATCTCTTATTCTGATTTATGGATTTTAGCTTCTTATGTGGCAATAGAGGAAGCTAGAGGACCCAAAATTGAATTCGTTCCAGGCAGAAAAGACGCTTATTGGTAAAATAAATGTCCTCCTAATGGAAGATTGCCAGATTTAAACAAAGACAGTAAACATTTAAGGGAAGTATTTTATAGAATGGGTTTTTCAGATAAAGAAATTGTGGCTTTAATAGCAGGAGGACATCAGTTAGGAAAATAATATTATGAATTTTAAAAATATAAAACATATATTTTAAAATTATAACCAATTTAGTTTTCTAATGATTATTTCAAAAGTTTATTAGAAGAATAATGGATTGAAAAAAATTAAGATAATGGAGATATATTTTATATAAATTAAAATAATAATATAAAACAAATAAGGTTTCCTATAGATTTAGAATTAAAAAAGGATCCAGAATTAAGAAAATATTCAATTTTGTATAAGGAAGATTAATTATAATTTTAAAATGATTTTGCACAAGCATTTAAAAAATTAACAGAATTAGGATTTAAAGTATTTTGAAAAATAAATTAATAAATATTTTTTTATATTTGAATAAATTTATTATAAAATATATATTTATATATTATATAAAAAAAAAAAAAAATTTTTATATTTATATATATATATATATATTTATTTTAATTTTTATTTTAAAAAATATTTATATATGTAATATATGTAATATATTATATTAATATATATTTTTTTTTTTTTAAAGATTATTTAGATATTATAAAATATTTATTTTTATATATATATTTTTTTTATAAAATAAATTTGTTTATAATAAAGAAAAATAATAAAAAATATAAAAATTTATTAAAAATTATAATATTATTTGAAAATTAAATATATATAAATCATGTTTTTATAATTTATATTATTTTAATTTACATATTTTTAATTTTTACAATTTAAACTTTTTTAATATTAAAATTTAATTTTTTTTACAATTTTTATATATTTTATTAAGAAGATAAACACTTTTTTTATATATAATTATTTCATAAAATAAAAAAATATATAAAATTTTAAATAATTATAATATACATTAAAAATTTATAAATAAAAATTATAATTAAATTTTATTTTGTTTAAATTATGTTTTTTTTATTTAAAATATATAAATTTATTATTTTATTTTTAATTTTTTCAATTTTTAGAAAATAGATAATGGAAAAAATTAATTATAATATATCATGTTTAGGAAAAATTCTTGCTTAATCCCGCAAAAATCGTAAATAAGCCTAATAAGGTGCATTAAATCTTTCCTATTAGTTAATCTAATTAAAAAACGAAAAATAAATTTTTAAAAAATCAATTAGTTTAATAAAAAAATAGACGAAATCTAAACTAATTTAAAAGCTTGAAATTTAAATTTAAAAATAAGAAGTAAATTAAAAATTTTATTATAAAAAATAATAAAAAAAAGACATTTTAAGAAAATAAATAAAATGTCTAAAATTTAAAATTTGTATAATAAAAGAATGAAGATGAAAGGAAAAAATAAAAAGAAAATTTATAGAAAATACGTGAATTTACTTTAGGAAAAAATAAGGAAATTTATACATAAATAAAGGCTTAATCAAGGCTAAATGAAGAAAAAATAATTTTTTTTTTGAACGAATAAATTAGAAAAAATCAAATAAAGACAAATTAAATGAAATAATAATATATAAAAGGATAAATTTCCATTTAAAAATATAATGTTTCTTAAATATAAAAGTTTATGGAAAATTATAAGAATTAAATTTAAAACGAAATTTAATAAGAATAAATTATGCTTTAGAAAAATGCTTAAATGGAAAAATAAATAAATTATTTTTTATAAAATTTATAGAAATCTTAAGTTTTAGAAAAAAATACAAGTCTTTTACTTAAAGATGCTGTTTCTTTAGATTCTCGTTTACTTTTAAATAAATATCAACATCAATTTCTCAAATGTAATAAAAATTTATCATAAAAATTAATCACAGACAGTTGTAATTATAAATAGTTCAAAGAAAATAATTATTATACTTAATTAAATGATGATGTAGATATCAATAATGCCCTTTAAAATATAAAAATAAACGAAAATTATTTAATTTAGAATGTTAATACTTATATTAGTTAAAATGAATTGAATTCTTAAACTTCTAATGGTGTAATCGAAATAAATAAAAAAAAAATTCTAAAGAAAGTTCCCAAAGTCTGAGTCATAAATAATTTATGCTATAATATTTTTGTCAAACAAAAAAAAAATATTTATAAGTATATATATATATGTTTTAATAAATATTTTTTTTAAGTTATATTTTTAATTATATTATATTTTTATTTTATTTTTATAAATTAATAAATAAATAAAAAAAAAATGGAAGTAAAAGTGGGCGATAGATATAAAGTTGGTCATATTATTGGATAAGGTTCATTTTGTAATGTTAAATTAGGTTTTTTAATACAAATAAAAATATTATATAAATGTATTTTTTATAACTAAATAAAAGGATTTGATACAAAAAACGAAGACGAAGAAGTTGCAATAAAATTTGTATTTTTTAATAAAAAAATGTTTTTAATCTTAAAAAATATTAAAAAAAGGAAAGAAAAGATAGCCCTTTTCCTTAATTATTATTTGAATCGAAATTATATAAAATTTTGTAAGGAGGAGGTTTTAAATATTTTAATATTTATTTTTAATTAATTTGAAAAAAGTTGGAATTCCAAATGTAAGATGGTTTGGAGAAGAAGGAGATTTCAACATAATGGTTATAGATATATTAGGTTTAAATTTAGAGGATTTTTTCACATATTGTAATCGTAAATTTTCTTTAAAAACAGTACTTATGATAGCTGATTAAATGATCGAAAGAATAGAATATTTACATAATCATAATTTTATTCATAGAGATTTGAAACCGTCAGAATTTTTAATAGGTTAAGGTAAAAAAGCTGATGTTATTTATTTAATTGATTATGGTCTTGCAAAAAAATATAGAGATCCAAGAACTACTCTTCATATTCCTTATTAAAATACAAATAATTTAACTGGAACAGCGCGTTTTAGTTCTATAAATACTCATTTAAAAATAGGTTTTATTATGTTAATTTTTAAATGATTTTTATATAAATAAAAATAGAATAAAGTAGAAGAGATGATCTTGAAACAATAGGATATTGTCTTGTTTATTTTTTAAAAGGAACTCTTCCTTGGATGGGTATTAAAGTAGAAAACAGATAAGAAAAATATTAATATATCGAGGATAAAAAAATATCTACACCAATAGAAGTTTTATGTGAAGATTTACCAGGTTATTTAATTTTATATATAGTTAAATTCTAATAATATTCAAATAAAAAAGAGGAATTTATTACTTATTTGAAATATTGCAGAAGCCTTAAATTTGAAGAAAAACCAGATTATGTTTGGATAAGAAGACTGTTTAAAGATTTATTTTATAGATGTGAATATAAATGGGATTTAATTTTCGAATGGGCAGAAGTAGCAGTGGTAAAAAATATAAAATAAAAAATAAAAAATAATTAAAAAGCAAAAAGAAAAAGATATAGAAATAGAATAATAATATAATTAAGAGATAGATGAAGATAATAAAAAATGAAAAAAATATAAAAAAATATAAAATATTATAAAAAGAAAAATAAAAAAATAATATAAAAATAAAATAAGAAAAAAAATAATATATATATATAAATAAATAAAAACTTAATTAAATAAATAAATAAATAAATTAATAAATAGATAATTTTTTATTTATTTTCCTTTATAAATAACAAAAAACTAATTAAAAAATATTTTCGAAATCACAATAATTTTATAATTTATATATAAATATAAATTAATATAATAAAATTTTTTTAAGTTTTGAATAAATATAATAAATTATTTTTTTTCTTTTAAAGTTCTTATTAAAATAAATAAATTACTATTTAAAAAAAAAAACAATAAATATAAATTTATATATATTTAAATATAATTAATGTTTAATTTTGAACTTCAACGTTAAAAAACTTATTAAATTTACTATAAAAAGACTATAGTTAATTTAAATTTAAGAATAGTATTCTACTTCTAAAACGCCAAATAAAGGTTTTTAAAAATAAAAATAAATGATAAGTAAATAAAAAAAAATATGTAAAAATAATAATTATATATATATACATAAAAATCTTTTATAAATTAAATAAAATTAAAAACATTATAATAAATTATTTTAAAGATAAATCTAAAGAAGAAATGATGAATATTTCATCTTAATTTTTATAAATCAACTAAACGTAAAATTTGAGTTAATCAACAAATGCGACAAATGTTACACCAAATAAATCTAGAGAAAATATAGTTTTTTTTTAATAATAAAAATAAGATATTAATATTAAATATAGCTTTTCTAAATACTAGAAATTTAATGTATCTTAAGATTTAATAATAAAACTAAAAACATAAAACGAATAACACGAAAATTAAGATATCTATAATAATATATTTACTTAAAATATAGACGATTAAATGCTCAGTTTAATTATTTAATAATTAATAGATATAGAAGAATGTTTATATAATATAAACAAAAACAAATAATATGATAGTCAAAAAGCCTTTTTAATATATTATTAATAAAATATACTACTTAAAAGTATGTAAATTTTAGATTAAATACCTTTTTAGTAAAATATAAAATATGAAATTTAACTCGCACTTAATCTGTAAATGGTCTACATATAAATAATAATTTATGAACATATAGTTTATATTAAAGGTTTAAGAGAATCAGTAAAAAAATTTAAAAAATGAAAACTTGCAAAATGTATTGGATTAGTTTTAATTTATTTATTAAAGTTTTTTGCTTTTACTTTTATTTTTTGAAAATACTCCTTATTGTAACTAATAATTAAAGTCTATAATAGATTTACGAAAATAACAAAAAAAAATTAAATTTTATTAAAAAATAATAACAAATTCGAAATGATTACTAAATTCAATAAGATTATTTAATCTTTCCTATAGATTACTATAGAGACACAGATTTAATTTGATAATTAAAATGAGTTTTCAATTTATTAGGAAGTTTTTTAAATCTAAGATATGATTTCTATGTTCTCGGTTTTATAATTAGCTTCATTTTTTTTAGAACTGTCAAAATAAAACGTATTTTTTAAAAAAGTACTAATAATATTTTTTTAAAAAAATAAAGACTTTATTCATATAGAAAGAATTCGGAAATTAACAATTGGTAAAAAAAAATGTAAGTATTAATAAAGATGATTTTTTATAATAATAAGAATAAGATTAAAATGTATAATAATAAAATTAATAATAATAAGAATTAAACGAAAATCCTCCGTACATAAATTCTAAACCTAAAAAACCATACACTTTAGTACTAGATTTGGATGAAACTTTAGTACATTATTAAGAAGTAATAATAATAAAAAAAATTAAAAAATTAAACTATAAAATTAAAAAGATTGATGAAGGAGGATTATTCTTAGTAAGGCCTTATGCAGAAACTTTTATTTAATAAATGGCTCAATATTATGAAATAATTATATTCACAGCCTCTTTACAAAACTATGCAGATTTTATTTTAAATATAATAGATTCTAATAAAATAATATCTTATAAATTATATAGATAACATACTTTAAACATAAATAACACTTATATAAAAGACTTATCAAGGATAGGAAGAGATATGAAAAAAATGATTATTGTAGATAATTTGCCTGAAAATTTTTAATTATAACCTGAAAACGGGATCTTTATAAAATCTTGGTTTGGCGAATAAGAAGATAAAGCACTTTTTGAATTAATGCCATTTTTGATACGTTTTTTTTATATTTATTTAATTATATTTAAATTTTTATAGAAATTGCTAAAAAATAAGTGAAAAATACTTAAAATGCACTTAAGTAATTTAGAGAGAAAATAATGAAAAACTTTAATGAATGTAAATAAGATCCTTATTAAAATATATAATTAGATACAGAAGAAGATGAAACATGAAAATAATAAAATTAAAATATTATAATAATATGTATAAAAAATTATATATATCCAAAATAAAAATATAATCAATTTTTCTTCTTTTTTTTATTATTTGCTCATTATTATTATTTGCTATAATTTTATTTTAAAAACTCAAATAAAAAAAAGATGTCATATCGCCTTTTTTTTTTTGATTGTGCTTTTAAAAAAAAATACAGAAAAAATAAAAAAAAGATATTGAACAGAAATGCAAATATATAATTATATAATTAAATTTTTATAAATTTATTTTAATATTAAATAATAAATATGCAATTTGATATTTAAGCTTTTTTAAAATACAAATTTAAATCATAATTTACTTGTATATAATTTTTTACTGTAATTTTTTAAAAAACTAAATAATAAAAAAATGGAAAATTAATTTCTTTTTATATTAATTTTTTTTAAAAAAATAGAAAAAATAAAATTTTTGTAATTAAACATTTATTTAAAAAGCTATATAAATAAAATAAAATAATTATATTTATATTTTCTAATTAGTTTTAAAAATAAATACTAATATTTAATTTAAAAATAATATTAATATAATTAATAAAATAATTTTTTGAAAATAAAAATGCAATCAAAAATAAACTTTTTATTTATAATTATTTAAATTAAAATTTATAAAATATTAAACATTATAAAAAAATATAATATATTCTCAAATTATAACTCACAAAAATAAATATGATGTGAATTTAAACAAACAAAAGAATATAAATGTATAAAAAACTTGCTTAATAACAAATGCTACAAAAAATATAATATCGAAAAAATAGAAAAAATTTTACCAAAAGCATTGATAGAAAAATTAATATTAAATAGAGTCTTATTTTTTTACAACGCAAAAACCTTACCAAGAAGGACTCTTTATTAATTTAATAAAAATATAAGATAACAAATAAATGATAAAAGAGATTTACATATTTACATAATAATTAAAAAACAGATTTTTTATTCAATTTTTCAATTAATTATATTAAATATTAAATAATAAATGATTTCCTTTATTTAAATTTCTTACATCTATCTAATTATTTGACCCTGAAAATAAAATAAAAAATTATACTAACTTCTTTCATTTTTAAAAATAACTGTTTCTACTCTGGATATACATAAAAATTTTTTGATATAATCGCTCATATTGCTTGGGCTGGACTTCTGAAATAATTTTATAAATGATCATTGCTACATCAGTAATAAAAACAATTTTGTTACTGATAGGAATACTATTTTAAATATTTTTTGAAGGTTTGAAAATCAAATATGTTATTCTGAAATTTCATTTTACTTGCAATTGTTATGATAAAATAAAAGGAAATGTGCTTTGTAATGTAAAATTTAAAATTTTATATTTTAAAATTTATTTTATAAAAGAGACAATATTTTTTATTTATGTGCACGGTTTTCATAAATATTCGATTTTGCAATCTTTTGGCTTATTTTTTATTTCCTACTATATAGTTTAATTTGAGTATTATTTTTTAGAAATTAAAGGCTCATAGATTGAATAATTTAATAACAATGATGAAACATAGCGGAGTATCTTTTTAAAAACATTATTTTGAGGTTTAATGTCATAGTTAAGTAATAAATTACTTAAGAGACTATATTTAGAAATTGGTTATCCAAATTTTTGTATGATTTCATGTTTTTTGATTGTAGTATATATAATAAAAAGTATATTTCGCTTTTTAAAAGGAATAAACAGATCATAAAAGAATTTTAAATGAGATTGAAACATAATAAATTAATTTTTAATATTGATGTGTAAATTTAATATTTTTTATTTTTTTAAATATTTAGTGAAATTTAAGGCTAATAAATATATATTTAAAGAATTATATAAAATATAAACATAAAAATAGATATTAATAGAAAAAATACTTTTCGAAAATAGATAATAGAAAATTTATTTGCAAATTATTTTTATGATTAAGAAACACTAAATAAAATGAGTTAAATCTGTAAGAAATAGTATATTTTTCTAAACAACTTATTTTAGACTAAAATATGTAATAAGAAGAAAAGCAACTTTTTATAATTAATTTATATAAATTTTCAGACAATAAATATATTAGAAAGTATATAATTTATTTATGTGAGTATATTTTTTTATTTAACTCAAAAAAAATCTAATATAATTAATATTTTATTTTTTTAATTTTGGTTTGGGATATAAAATAATAAATTATAAAAAAAAATATCATAAATATTGCTTTTTAACATTATTTATTTCTATTTTCTCTTTAATTTATTTTTAAATATTAAAATAAATATATAAGGTTGAAAATCATATTATTAATTTTAAAATAATACTTTAATTTTCAGAATGATTTTCGTGCGAATTCTTTGATTTTATATATATATATATTTTTTTTAAAGTTAAATATCTGATATTAATTTTTTGAAATCAATAAAAAAGTTTAAATTTATTGAGAAATCAATCATTATTATACTCTAAATAGAAATAGTAATTTATTCACAATTCTTGTTAGTATAATTATACTTTAAAATATAATAATTAAATCAAAAAAATACTTAAAAAAGATAAAAACATATTAAGAA